GGTGGGTGGGTGGGTGGGTGGGGTCCTGGTATACATTACATTGTGGGGATCAAATGTCCCCACGATATGATAAAAACCTGTTATTTTGATATTGTGGGGACCATTTTTCAGTCCCCTCAAGGGGGAATTCAATTTTATAAAAAAATCTATGCAATCAGAAAAACTTCCAAACGCCTTATATTTAGTTTGGTTATTTATGGTTAAGGGCTGGGTAGGGGTTAAGGTCATCGTTTTGGGATTAGGGTTATACCCATAGAAATGAATGGAGAGTCCCCACAAAGATATGAGTACAGGTCTGTGGTGTGTGTGTGTGTGCGTGCATGCGTGCGCGCTCATACATGTGCCCAGTCATGCATCAAGTCCAGACTTGTGTTTGGGACGGTGTCAGCCCGTTTGTCACATGGCCTTCGCCTCCTGTAGTTCCTGTGTTTGGCCACCTGAGGCTGCTCTTCCAAATGGCGTATGACCCCTCTCATTGGCCGACTCCTGCGTAGCATTTTGCCTGAACGCGATCTGGGCTTTGGAGAGTTTTAAGCATTTCTTGCTTCAGGGTTATTGGCAGCGTTCTTGGTATCTGCAGTGTGTGGGTTGAAGGTTTTCAGACGCAGTGTTGAAATGTAAAATATATAAATATATTTAAGTGGACACAAAAAAAAAAAAAGATTCTACTCGTGGTTATTTTTTCTGTAATTACACCGCGCTCATCAGTATCATCTTGCAGCGCCCCCGCCTGGCACGTTTGCCGCATGTGCTATGTCCCATGTGACCTCATGTGACCCCCCCCTCCCCTTCCCGTCTCCCCCAGATGCAGCAGCAGGAGCTGGCACAGATGAGGCAGCGTGACGCCAACTTGACAGCGCTGGCTGCGATCGGGCCACGCAAGAAACGCAAGCTGGACTCTCCGGGGGCTGCGTCGTCCGGGACCGAGGTAAGAACCCCGTCTGCGGGCTGTCCCGGCTGCGCCTGTGCCGACGTGACCCTGTCCCGGCTGCGCCTGTGCCGACGTGACTCTGTCCCGGCTGCGCCTGTGCCGGCTGCGCCTGTGCCGGCTGCGCCTGTGCCGGCTGCGCCTGTGCCGGCTGCGCCTGTGCCGCGTGACCCTGTCCCAGGTGTGCCCGCGTGTCTCTCCTGGCATCTGGTGCCTCCCTACCTCAGATTTCTTCTTTATTCTCATGCCAGAGTATTTTTTTAAAAAAAACCTCGTTGTTAAGTGAGCCCACTGTGCTGACAACAGACGTATCGGAGCCAGCAGGAGGCGTCGCCCGGCTATGTGGCCAATCGGATAAGGCCGCTCGGCGCCGTGCACCATCCCTGTGCTTGCCGACTGCTGCGTCTTCCTGTTTGGAAGTCACCCCAATCGGACATTTCCCCTAAGTCTGTCTGGGTCCCTGGCATCGGCAAACAGCCAGCACAGAAAGTTAGATGAGGAGGAGCTACATGTTCTGTGTGTGTGTGTGTGTGTGTGTGTGTGTGTGTACTTGTATACACACCTATATGCAGCTCTTAAAAAGGTTTGCTGTGGGACTGAGCGGGTTCGTCTGGCAGCAGCGTTCGCTATCACGTTCCCCTGGCCTCCTGTGAAACTCCAGCCGACATCCTGACGCTCCGGTGCCACACCTGCCTTGGCCTGGCGAGGGCCTGAACCCCTGGAGAGCCCTCAGGAAGAAGCGGGGGGAGGGGGGTTCCCCATGAATTTGGGGAGCGAACAAAGCCCCTGTCCTTGACTCTCGTTAAACTGTCATCAGGCGATCAAGTAACATCAAGGACGCGAGGAGAGCTGCCTTGTCAGTGGGATTTTAAGCCTGTTTCTTCGTCTTAATCGCAGTCGACTGCAGAAGAGGATTATTGACTGGATCTGACACACAGCATAAATACCCATAATCCAAGTATTAGTCCTTTTTTAAATCACTCAGCCACCCCGTGTCATCTTTATAAAACAATTGCCAGTCTAACAAGCGCTGCTATCCATGTTTTCTGCTCCTGCCCCCCCACCCCTTCGTTTTGCCGTCAAATCTACATCTAATTAAAAGACGAGATGGGAAGGGGGCCTTTTGCCTGTTTTTATGAGCGACCGCGAGGAGGGATGGAGGCAGGGAAAGGGGGGGGGGGGAGATCTGGACTTATTTTCGCTGGCTGTTCACCTCCCCTTGCCTCCTGCTTTTGCGCGGGGGGAGGGCTGCTGCCCCGCGGCGCCAGGCTTCCTTTCTCAAGAGCAGAGCGAATGTGACTTTTCTAAGGGGGTCACCGGATGCCTGGCAGGCCTCTGGCTGCCTCTGGACTGCTGCCTGCTCTCAGCCTCACCGAGGGGCTTGTCATACATTTCATCTCCACACAATTGGGCCCGGGGGGGCGGGGTGGGCCGGACAGACGGGTAGGCTGGCCAGCACCGCCGAACCCACACCGATTATTTACCGCCGACAACAAATCCTGAAGTCTTCACGTTAATCCCCGACAAAGGCGCCCTTTCACGGCCACGCCAGCAAGGGGGATAATGACCTCTCAGATGCCTTCTAGCAGAACGCTTCCCAGTGCTGAAATCTGCCCCCCCCCTCCGCTGATAAAATGCAGGTGACAGTGTGTCGGGTGTCTGAGGCGACCCCGCCCCCCTCCCCCCGGCTGCCACCTTCCTGTGAAGGTGACTCTGATGGGTGGGGCCCAGGGCCGGGAGCGCCGCGGGGGTGAAAACGATAGCCGGCCAGGGGGGGTATCTGCAGCGCGATCTGCAGCGCGGGGAACAATGGGGCCTTGTGAGGCTTGGCGGGGTGGATTAGCTGCTCCGTGCCACTAGGAGCTTTTTACGAGGGGGCAGGGGGGATGCCCTGGCCGGGGGTGAGAGGGTATGCAGACGCTCCCCTCCCCCTTCCCCTTCCCCTGCACCCCCACCCGCCTTTATGCTTGTTTTTGAAGTCCACTCGGAAGGCAGGGCAGCCCGTAGAGATGGTGATGCGGACAGCAAGGCCGAGAGCCGCGCGGCTTCCCCCTTTAGAGCTCAGAGATCCTGCCGGCCGTCTGTCCTGCACTCGGGCCGTTAGCCTGAGAAACCAGCCAGTCATCCGCGGCCCATGGCGACCCCGTCCGGCCTGCATTGCCGTCGCCACGGCAGTAACTGATGACACAGACATGAAATGGTCATTTATGTTTAGTACTCAAAATAATTACTAAGTGTGAGCTGGGCACGTTCTCATGACCTACACACAAACACACACACACACACACACAGCAGGCATTTGGCTGCATTCGTATCAAATAGTCATTTTTAGGAAAGAACCGTGTGTGTGTGTGTGTGTGTGTGTGTGTGTGTGTGTGTGTGTGTATTGAATCAGTCATAGAAATCCCTTTTCCCTTACAGTGCCTGTGGTTGCACATGGTGCATTGGTTGTACTGAATGTTAAGAGCAGGTTTGTATTAAAAATGTGTACATCTTTGCATTCAGGCTTACCTTTTGCTGGCCCCTGAACCACCCCTCCCCAACCCCAACACCACTGGATAAAAATTTTTTATAATAAAAAAAAAAATAACATTGGAGTCTTGTATGAAAAATATATTACCCATGTTCATTAAAGGAAAGCAGCTATTTTCCCAGATATGGTTTGGAGTGTATCATGGAGGCGTGCGAATAGGTAGGTAGAACATTTAATAAGAGCACTGTTATTATTTTTTTCCATTTGAATTGATTTCACCTACTTGGAGAGAGAGCGAGTGTGAGAGTGTGTGTGTGTGTGCGCGGAATGGAAGAGTGAGAGGCTCGAGGAGGGGAGAGCACAAGGAAAAGCGATGCCCTTTCCTGCAGCGAAATTAACAGGAATCACGTGGAAAACAATCTGAGGCTGGTATGAGAGGGGGAGCCATTAAAAGGAGCCCCGGGCGATGGACTGCGCCCAATATCAGCAAAGCCGCACTCACTGCAGATGCGGAGGCTGGCTTACAGGCAAACTGCGCTCTCCTCTATAGCTACAATTAAAGTCAACCTCTCTGCCAAGAAGTCGGGAGGGGGGGGCGGGCACCGAGACTGGGCCGGGGGTGGGCAGGGAGCAGGCATGAAACATCAAAGGCGGATTGAAATGTGTCTCCCACCCCCGCGGGTGTCCGTAACCCCCCTCCCCTCTCCCCCACCCTTGTTAATGAGCAATTTTGACCTCTGGTTTGTAAGTTAAACTTGTAATCTTGCTTAATGAAGTGCATTCCCAGCTTGTGTGTCGCCTGCCCCCGATGCGTGGGGGTCTTGCCTTCTTTCTGCCCCCCCGGCTCAATGGTCAGGTCTTCAGTCATGTAAACAGCCGTCCCAGAGAGGGTCATCATGTGGGGGGAGGGAGGCAACTCACTCCATTCTGGCAGTGTGGGTCGGCCTTTGGTTTAAGCTGAGGAGCTAACCCCCCCAAACACCCCCCATTATTAGCATTAGCATAGGCTATCGTGTAGGGCAGGGTTGGGCAATCATATCTACAAAGGGCCGATGGGTATGCAGGTTTTCACTGCAACTCCCTAATTAGATTACTAATTAGAGGACTGATTGTCTGAAGAGTCCTCACACCTGGGTTTGCATAGCTGACCTACAGGTTATCCCAGAAACCTGCATACACACCGGTCCTTTATGCATGTGATGCCCCCCCCCCCCCCCCCCCCCCCCCCCCCCCCCCGGCGTAGGGCATGATGTTCCGTGACTCGCTCACAAACTCCACAGACAGACCTCTCCGGCTATCGAGAGGATCCGCCCCATGAATGATGTCATAATGAATAGGTGGAGAAGGATGGGGGAGTGTGGAGAGAGGACTGAGGCCTGCATTCGCATGAGTGCGGCTCAGGACACGCACACCGAGAACTGGGGTCGTGTCGCGGATCCCTAAGTGAAGAACCATTTTATTCTAAACCTAGGTTGCCATTACCTTCTTGTTATTTGTACCCCGTAGTGCAGATATACGGTTTGTGGGGATCCTGAAGTCTTTGCTTTTACTGCTGCATGATTTCTGTATGTAGACACACTCACTATTTCACAGTAGGTGACATTTTGAACTTTCCAAGATCATTTCATTTCCTACAGTAAATGTTGTTCGAACCAACAGCTTTTACCCTTAGCGTAAATAACTGCTGATACTCAAAGTAATACATTTTCACGTGTTGGTGATATTTTCCCAGGGTGCCATGATTTGATTCTGACAGTACAGTGGGTACAGCCTTCTTACTTCTGCAGTAGAGTTCCAGCACCCTAACCCTAAATGAATTTACCCACAGTACTCACTAGTAAATTGAGCAATAATATTTTCGGATAAAACTGTATGTAATAAAATCATCCTTTATTTTGCTGAAATGCAGAGATGAACTTCGTACTGATCAGTTTCCCTCTGACCTGAGCTTAAGCAGGACTGCTCAGCTCTTGGCCTGGCCTAACTTTGCATCTACCTGCTCCATCCCAACATGCTCCTCCTGTGGCGGAGCCAGGCCTGGTGGGGAGGTGTGAGCGGGGCCTGAGATGAAGGAGTGATCTCACACTCAGAATAAAACCCCTGGTGCTGCCACCACGGGAGCTTAAAGAGTGCGGCATACTTTAGCATGGGGAGGAGCATATCTCAGGGACGTCTGGCAGGTGGCTGTGTAGGTCTGAGATGAGGAGCGTATCTCTGGGACATCTGGCAGGTGGCTTTGTGTGCCGGAGATGAGGAGTGTATCTCAGGGACATCTGGCAGGTGGCTTTGTGTGCCGGAGATGAGGAGTGTATCTCAGGGACATCTGGCAGGTGACTTTGTGGGTCGGAGATGAGGAGCATTCATGCTGTGGCTGCTTAGGTGGTGCGGCAGAGAGAAGCAGCCTGACAGATTTGTGAGAGCCAGAGCCATGTTGGGGTCAGGGAGACTGCGAGCCCACAAAGTCGCCTTCCTTTATCGTTCTGCCACACGACTGACCCCTGAACAGATTTTCAGGCTGCGTTTCATC